GTTTGTGGTTTTTTTTTTTTTTTTTTTAGGACACCCTTGACGGGGATCAGTGACTTTACTGCCACGAAGAACAAGATCATCCAGCAGTGCCTTGAGCTCACCACCACTGTTCAGCAGGTCAGGGAGCCCATGGTCGGCCTGAGATACACTTGTGTCTGTCGAACTAGTCCAGTGACGTTTTCGAGCAGCGGTGCTCACCTCAGAAGCCTCAGGTCGCTTAGTGAAAGCACTGTGACCTGCCGGTTCTGATGGGGAACACTGCACTTCACACTGTGACCTGCCGGTTCTGATGGGGAACACTGCACTTCACACTGTGACCTGCCGGTTCTGATGGGGAACACTGCACTTCGGGAACCTTTTGTGTGGCCAACAGCCAATGGATTTTACAGTTTCATAAAACCTCTGGCTCTCTTGAAAGAAGTTCCTCTGAAGTATCCCAGAGCCAGCTGTTTCCAGTTTTTATTCCTCAGAGACGTTCCACAAGGAACGTGGAAACGTGTGTCTGGCAGGGTAATAATTCAGGATGGGGGGGGTCAGTCCGATTTTTTCATGAATTATTTACTGGTATTTCACCGCGGTGCCTGAAAGCTTGTGTGAGATGGAGAATTCAAGGGCACCAGGTCGCGTTCCACGTTTGTGGCATGATTGATTATGAGCGTGTCTGTTGTATGTGGAAACCAAAAGGCTGGTCCAAGATCTTGGGTTTAACACAATGCATACAATGGAAAGAGGACATAGATTCTGATCCGGGCCAGTTCCCGCGGTGCTCGTCCGCAAGCTGAGATTTATCGAACTTGCTCCGCCCCCGCTGAGAGCCATGACCAATAGCGTCCCACACCGACATTTGGATTTCGGCTTGCTGCGAGTTTGCCCGCCCCCCCCCCCATCAGCTGTCGGGTAGTTAGGGCCAGATAAGCCTTCCATTCAGGTCTCATGGATTCGGAAGTACTGTGAGAGGAGCATGATAGAGAACAGCAGCTCTTCTGTCCGATCTGGCAAACGCTGTGAAGGGGGTGGGCAGAGATCAGAGACACACCTGTCTGTGTCACGACGATCTCAGCTGGCGGCAGCAGGTCTGGGACGGAGGTCTGGCTAACAATCAGACACTACTCTAAATCTTGCACCATGCAAATGAGTTGAAGATGAGAACCTTTACCTTTTGGGTGGAAAGTGTGCTATATGAAAATAAGTCAAACTAGACTGAATCGGATATGTAAACTTAAATGCTGCGGCTGTCAGGTTACGCCAAGTCACATGATTTTAATAAAGGATTCTAAGTTCAGGTGTGGTTTTGGTATCATGAAATGGCCCCTTGCATCTTCTGGCAATTTTGACAATGTATTTATTTTGTTGATGGAGGGTCTGACAGCTGGGAGCTGTGGTAATATTTGCCTCCCAGCTGGCAAAACGTGTTTCAGTTGATGAGAGATGACGCAGACCCCCCGAACCCCCCCCGAACCCCCTTGGTTATCACTCAAATAAGATTCCCAGCGCCAAACAAACCCCCTTTTGTGGAAGAAGCATGCGGCTATGCCCAAACATGACAGGACCCCTTCCACCCCGTTACAGAAACGGACGTGTCCCACATTCCGTCATCCTGTCAGGCGTGCAGTTCTTGATGCCGCACTTATCGTGGCACGGGGCAGGCAAGCTGAAGCGCTGCAGGCCTCAGTCAGAGCGGCGAAATGTCAGGCGCCGACGCGGTGTGATTGGCTGATGGGGTGATTGGCTGACAGGGTGCAATTGGCTGACAGGGTGTGCTCTGCCCTGCGGGACAGTCACTCTGCGCAGAGCTTTTAGTCAAAATGCTGTTTTCATTACAAGATGAGGAATATTATTTGCTTATCCTTTTAGTACATGTGTGTGAGGTTCTGTTCATCTTCTTCCACTTAACTCATTTAATCAATATCATTTATCTGTACATTTTTCTGTTCTCTCCTGTTTCTGTAATTCTTGTGTGTGCTTTACCAGATGTGTGTGTGTGTGTGTGTGTGTGTGTGATTTTTAACTCAATTTTATTATTTTTTTAAATTTACGCTCTGATTGAACATGATACTGTTCCAGTGGCTGATTCTGGTGGTTTTGTTTTGAACGAATGCACCTCTTCTCTTGCAGGATTGCACAGTTTATGAGATGGAAGAGAAGATTCTAGAAGTCGTAAGTATGGCGGCCGCAGAAGGGGAGTGGAGCTTCTGGGGAATCGTTCGGTCAGCGGGCTTTCAGAGACTTTAGTCTCCAGGGCCCCCTTTTTTTTGTCACACAACGGGGGGGGTTTGACACCGCTGAATATACCCCCTCCCCCCCCCATTAATCACAGTTTCCTGCGAATGACAATTACCAGGCCTCTCGTCCTGACAGCAAACTTCCTCTTTCTCAGACGTGCCGGTGAACTGCAGAGCTCCTCATGTGATGTCGTCTCCTTCCTCCCACCCCCCCCCCCATTTTTTTAATGTTTATGCAGCACTGTGGCGGTATGCGAGTCCGCAATTCAGGCAGGCCGTCGCTGGTCTCGCTCAGCCAGGCGCTACCGCAAAATGCTGCGCTATAGAGTGTCACTCACTCTCACTCACTCCCAGGGTTTGGGATTATTGTTTCTGGGCCCCAGATAAAATGTCACCTTGGGGCCCCCTGCCCTCATCTCAGGTCTCAAAAACTAGATACATATCTAGCGAATACTCAGAAGATTGTAGCCAGCCGTCTGGTTAGCATAACATGTTGCTTCAGCATCTCTGCTTATGATATTTAGTGTAGTGACAGTTTGTGGCCGACAGGGCGGTGCCCAAACCTCGGTGGGCCCGTGCAAATGCGCAGTTTGAATGCTGGTAAACGCCCACATGCACCTCATGCTCCAGTCTTCGCTGATTTCCTTCTGAGCATTTACGGTCGTTAAGGCCTGTATCTTATCAGCTGCTCCGTGAGAAGAAACACGTTTATGTTTACGTCAAGCCATTCGCCCTAATGATGACAGCGTGATATTATCAGCTGTGCCTCGCGCAGGGCCCGAGCTGTGATGATGTAATTATGATCGGAACACCAGCCTTATCTTGCTCCCCCACTCCCTGCGTGTGCATTTCGAAAGAATGTAATTTAGTCGCAGTAGAGATGCCAACGTTTTTTAATGGAATCATCTCACCCTGTTGAGTTGACCAGTGTTTCCTAACCCGGTCCTCGGACCCACAGTCGATCCATGTTTTTGCTCCCTCCGAGCTCCTTGCCAGGCAGTCTATATAAAACGTAGACTGGCTGCTGGTCCCCGAGAACCGGATTTGGAAACGCTGGGGTAGACCTCTGAGTCAGATATGCTTAATCAAAGTAATCAAGTAACTTAGCTTTTGCACGTCATCATTTAGTATATTAATGATGGGCTCTTGTCTGAATTGCAGTCAAAGGTTTTGAATGGAATCTGTGACCAGACTATGGAAACTACCTCAGACCCTCTGACCAGGCAGATTACCCGCCTGGAGGAGGTCCGGATTGTCAACATCAAGCCCGGGGAAGGACTGGTGAGATGGCAGCATCGACATCACCGAAACCCCCC